AACCACAGTAACTTCCTGCCTGGTCTTTAGTATCAGTGCCAGGGCTTGAAATTAGTGCCTTGTGCATGTTCTACCACTGGACTACACTCAGTCCTAGCTGGTTCGAATATCCCACACTTGTTCTGGTCTTAAAGCCCTCACAATCTCTTTATTTCCCATGTCTGGACTGTGGTTTTGTTCCTTCAGGCAATTTAGAAATAGACTTGAGTGCTGTCTCTTTGAAGAGGTCTTCAGTCTAAACTTACCGCTTCCCCCACACCCTTGTGTCTTATCACCATGACCAGGTTAATTTTCTTTATAGTACCAACTTCTTTATGAATTTTTTGGAAATTGTGTGTGTGTGTGTGTGTGTGTGTGTGTGTGAAGTGTGTGTGAATGTGGAGCACACAGAGGCCAGAGATTGACACTTGGATATCTTCCTCTGTTGGTCTCCATATTGTTTTTTGAGACAGGGTCTCTCACCAATTCTTGAGCTCACCAATTCAGTGAGACTGGCTAACTTGCAAGCACTAGGGTCTGCCTGTCTCTGCTCCGGCCAGCACCAAGGTTACAGGTGCACACCACCACTCCTGCCCTTTACGTGGGTTCTGGAAATCTGGACTCAGGTGCTCATGCTTGCACGGAAAGCACTTCCCTGAGTCATCTGCCCAGCTCTCCCCTCCTCCCTCCCACACAGCTGCTTCTGCTTCTTCTCCTTCTTCTTCTTTTTTTCTTAAAAGGTTTTAAAATCCTATTAAAGAGTTGGGGTTTTAGTTGAACATCTGTTTAGCACACAGAGGCCCTGGATAGCAAAAATAAAAGGTCATTCTGGTTGTGCATCTGTGCACTGTTTGGTTTCCGTGTTACCAAATCACCCACTGCCAACAGACTTCAAGCCCCATTAAAGCATAGACTTCATCTCCCCTAAGGCCTATGACCTCCCCAGCCATGAGCTTTTAATCATGTTGACAGGACCAGTCATGAGTTCCCTCCTGTGGAGCAGACCTCAAAGCCAATCTGAAAGTGATTGTTTACCTTCCTGTCACTATTGCACCAGCACACACCTCTTTCCTGGAAGGTTGGTGTTATAGCATATGGGGTCCAGTGCTGGGCAAGGCCATTAATGCCTTTTCTCAGATTCAGAACCCATTCCACCGCTATGAAAGCTATCCAGCAGGGAGGACGTTTTCCAGTTAGTTCCCTAATTTCTTTATGTTGTACAACCAAAGTATATGATGGAGAGACATTGTCTTCAAGGAATAAGGTAGAGAGAGGTCTCCTATTCTGGTTTTCCCGCGTATGCTTAAAGGCATACATGTCCATATATTCTCATGCATGCAGCATACGCTAAATAAATAAGTAAACAAACAAACACATTAGTTCTTTTAAAAAGAGCCAAGAAAGGGGGAGCAGCGCTCCTGAAAATGAGAATGTAATTACAGGCAGCGTGTGTGTTTTCTGTATGAATGTTACATGCCAATCGCGTTCTTAATTCAGAATCTGTTATCTCCCTCCTAGGTGGGATATGCTCTGAAATCTGCTAGCTTGCTTTGTCCTTTACATCCCCAGCATCTTGTGTAATTATTGGCACCTTGTAGGTGTGTGTGTGTGTGTGTGTGTGTGTGTGTGTGTGTGTGTGTGTGTGTGAATGTGTGTGTGAACAGGTAAATGGTTAAGCGAATTAGTCTCTGGTCTGGGGAGATGACTCAGTGGTTAAGTACACTTCCTGATTTCCCGGAGGATCTGCGTTTGGCTCCCAGCACCCACCCCAGGTGGCTCACACCCACCCTAGATCTCCAGTTCTAGGGAATCTGGACCCCTCTTTCAGCCTCCAGGGCTGCACGTAACAGACGCGCTCAGACACATAAATCTTGTTTTAAGATTTTTAAAGCAAATGAATTTCTGGTCTCTCTTGCTCCCTTTCTCCTTCCCTCCCTTCCTCTCTCCCTCCCTCTCTCCCGCTTGCTGTATAGGGAAGGAGTGGAAAGGGGTGGGAGTGGGGAGGGGGCTTGCTCACATTGGGTAAGCACTCTGTCCTTGAGATGAGGTGTTGCTACGTAGCTCAGGCTGACCTCAAACTGATGACCTTCCTGCCTGCACCTCCCAAATGTTGGGGTGACAGGGATGTGCCACCATGACTCATGGCTCAGTCTCTGTAATCTGAAATGCTGTGTGTCATATTTGGTCTCTTTTGAGATGGTCCTCTTGGAAAAACTGAAGCACTGGCTATTTTTAGCTTTGTTCCCTTGTTTTAAAGACTCCTTTGTCTTCTTGCTTATATAAGAATAATAAATTCAAACTCACCCAGCAAACATTCAAATGGTTTTAGGATTTAGCATCAGGAAGGCAAGCAAAATGAGGCTAGAAACTGGCTGCCAAATTTGGCAGCCTACAGGATCTTGATGGTGTTACTGGAAGCCACATTACCGGGGCGGAGGCAGCAGATGCCAGACTGCAGAGGTTTGAAAGGGAAGGAGCCGTGAGGATCTGCAGCCTGAATGCTGGCCCGAAGGATCTGCAGCCTTGCATGGCCTGAAGGAGCAGCAGGCCTCCATCTCCTGCCACAATCAAATAAAGAGAATACTTACAAATATTTTTAGTGCTCCCACTTCGAATTTAGATTTGTTTTTGTGGTTTTTTTTGTTTTTTGTTTTTTGGGTTTTTTTAGTGTTTTTATTCCTTGGGGCAGGGTCTTTCTCGCAGAGCCAGTGCTGGCCTTGAACTCCCTGTGTACTCAAGGCTGACCTTGAGTTTCCTCCCCCCCCCTTCTGCTTCTTCCCAAGAGCGGAGGTTACTAATGTGGGCTGCCACACCCAGTTTATTCAGGGCTAGAGGTTGAACCCAGGACTTCCTGTATGGTAGGTAAACACTCTACCAACTAGCTGTATTCCTAGCCCTTTGTTTTCGGTGTTTGTGTGAACGTTTATCCCGTGAGACAAGAAGAGACCAGAACTTTCACGCTTAAAGGGAACCAACAGACAAGACTAGTTGCATTCAATAGTTGACTTTCATGGAAGTACTTGTTATACCAGCCTCTGCATTTCTATGTGTTTAGTTCTACTGGTGTTCTTTCTGAGATAAGTTAGCACCTGTTGGTCTAGAACGAGATCCTCCTGCCTCAACCTCTTCAGTGCTGCAGCTGCAGCCATGTACCCCAATAAACTCTGATCTCTGTACCCCAGTGAACTCTGATCACTGTTTTGCTGGTTTTAAATTTCAGAAGGTGTAATGTGACTGAGTGTTTTGCCTGTGCACCATGTATGGCTGTGCACCACGAAATGGGGATTGATGGGATCCTCTAGAGCTGGAGTTACAGATGGTTGTGTGAGCCTAATTGTGGGTGCTGGGAATGAAACCGAGGCACTCTAGAAGAGCTGCCAGCAGTCTCAACTGCTGAGTCATCTCCCCAGCACCTTAATTTTTTAAAGTGATACCCTTTCTTCAAGAAGGTAACAGCTAAAAGATTGAAATTCTGATAGCTCAATTAATGGACATAGCTAAGTGGCATTTCTCTTAGACAGTCATGTAGAAAAGAGAACCAGGTACTAGTGACATCTGGCAATGTCCCAGCAGCCTGATGGTAGGCAGGACCTTAGAAACCACCTGGCTCTAAGAGCCAAGTGGTGGTAGCTCACACCTTTAATCCCAGCACTCGGGGGGCAGAGGCAGGTGGAGCTCTGCGAGTTCAAGGCCAACTTGGTCTACAAGAGCTAGTTCCAGGACAGGTTCCAAAGCTACAGAGAAATCCTGTCTCGAAAAAAACCAAAACAAAGAAGAAGAAGAGGAAGAGAAAGAGGAGGAAGAGGAAGAGGAAGAGGAAGAGGAAGAAGAAGAAGAAGAAGAAGAAGAAGAAGAAGAAGAAGAAGAAGAAGAAGAAGAAGAAGAAGAAGAAGAAATAACCAACTGATTCTAAAGCTGTCTGTCAGTGTTGTTCACAAAAGAAGCAGCCACATAAGGTGACTCATGAAACCTATGAGTCCGAAGAGCCGAGGTCTGCAGTGGCATCTCAAATGAGCCCAAATAGCCATGAAAACGGCTGCACCGGACACGGCGTATGATCTCATCATCTTCCTGCAGCGTGGGTACAGGCTCACTGCACATGAGCTGGCGTCGTTGGCTTGCATTTAGGGGCTTCGATGGTTAGTGAATTGTTGCTGTTGTATTTCTGCTGTTTTGTTTGAGACAAGGTCTTAGTTCTGGAACTCTTTACATAGACCAAGCTGGCCTTAAACTCGTAGAGATCTACCTGCCTCTGCCTCTGCGGTGCCGGGGTTAAAGATGTGCATCCTTCCACATCTTTCCACTTGCCTGTGGATGCAGCCTGACCAGTGCCCTCAGGCTTCTGCCACTGTGACTCCATCACAGCCTTCAAGTGTTTCATCACAGCAACGGGAACAGAAATGAAGACAGGGACCTTGTATAAAATTATTCTTTAACATTAGTATTGAATTACCACTTGCCTGGCACCTAAGACCTTAAAGTGGGCAGTCTGATTCCAAAGGCCAGCCTTTTATCCACTGCATTCAGTTGCCTGCCCTGGGACCCTCGAAACCAGCTTCCATGCCTGGCAGCATATCCTTCCTCCCCAATCGCGTTCTCTCTCTCTCTCTCTCTCTCTCTCTCTCTCTCGCTCTCTCTCTCTCTCTTCCAGTCTCCCTCTCTCCCTTCTCTATTCTTAAACTATACATTTAAATCCTCAGTAAGTATATCTCTATTCTAGTCAAAATACTACGCTTGAGAGTTTGGTTTGGTTTTCTGGTGTTGAGAACCAACCTTGGGTCTTGCATATACTAGGAAAATGCTCTTATTACTGAACTAGAGCCCCAGACCAAAGATGGGTTATTTTTCAGTTCCATTCTTTGCTTTGTTATAGTAGGTTTTCTTCAAGGAAAGGGACACAAGCTTGCACCGGAAGTTGCACACGGTGCATGTTTCACGGGGAAACACGCTTGGGCTCTGTTTGGGGTGGGGGATGGGTATTCAGTGGCAAATGACTGACCTGCAATTCCTTCATTTCCCAGGTGTGGAAACTGAGGCCCGGAGAGGTGATGTGATTTGCCTAAAGTCATGCAACTAGTGGCAGAGCCCGGCCTCGAAGCCAGGTGTCCTGGATCTCAAGACACCCCCCTGCCTGAGGAATGGAACAGGTAACGTACCTCACAATGGGGGTCTGGGTCAGTCCTTGCAGCCTGAGGTGCCTGCTGGGTACTGGGTAAGCAGAGGAGTCAGCCGCTCCCAGTCTGACACACTGAATGGGGTTGAAGTCAAAGACTTGAAATTCAGCCCCTAAGACCCAGAGACAACAGCTAACAGCCATACCCCCAGGTAGATATCCCCACCTGAAGGTGGTTCTTCTCTGGTCATATACACATGTCCATCTCCAAACAGCTTGGCCGTGACTTGTCTGGCCATTCTGCTGCTCAGGTTCTCATCAATGCAATTCCCGGTGTCATAGGAGGCAGTGACTGCTTGCAGAAGATGCGTGGGGAGGTCAGAGGGAAAGGGAATCAGGGAGACCCACTCGGAGGCTCCTCTGGAGATCCAGGAGGAAGCCAGAGAAAAGGCTAGCTGGGGGGGGGGGGCACGGTCTGCTGGGTCGGCATGGCATGCCTTGGTTATTAGCTGGTAAAATTGGTCAGTAGGAATGCTGCAAGATAGACAGGAAATAAAGCCCACCGAAATGGGAAGGGAAAGGGACCCTGGTTTCATATATTTCCACTTGTTTCTATGAAGGAATTTCTTAAGCCAAGTATCGGCAAGGTCATATCTCACTTATGGTAACCTGTAACAACCACCTAAGTTACTCTAAGTGAGATATAGCCTGAGTGTTAAATGTAAACCTTGATACCAGCCATTGATGCTATGTATCCATATCTCTTAAGAATTGTCATTTTTTTCTATTCATTCAGTGGCTATTTATTGAGAACCCATTATGTGCCAGGAATATATCAAGTATTCTATATAAATATCCTTAGCCCCCCCCCCCCAGAATTCAGTCAGAAGAAGGTGTCCAAATAAGCTAGTCTCTTGGACAAGTTAATGGGACAAAAAGGCTTAGGAGAAATGACTCAATTCAATACTATTGATCCAGGTTAAAGCTTCAAAAGACTGTATTTGTAGGTTGAGTTTGCCTAGGTCCCTTTGAGATTTTTCCTTCCTGGTGAACACCCCGGAGGACCTACCTGAGCTGATATCTCTGGCTCTGGCATTCCTGATAGAGCAGACACCTGGGCACACACTGTAGCAAAGAGACCCCGGGGAAAAGGCTGGCAGAACAGAATGCTACAAAGGAACATCTTAAGCAGGTAGTAAGGTGCCAAAGGATCATGGCATTTTGTTACAGGTGTGTGGTTACTCACTGAGGGAGCCTAGAAGCATCTACCCTCCATGGGATTGACAAGCAGGGTGTGAGCAGCAGGCAGTGGGTAGTAAGTGGTCACTGGGCTAGGGTCCATGAATCACTGCCGACCTCTGCGAGAAGAACATTCTATCCCGTTTGAGGTGTTGGAATGAGGATTCAGGTAGAGGAAAATGGTGCTGCGGCCTTGAAACTAGAGAAGAAGGCAGGATTATCAGAGGCCGGGCACAAGCTTGCATTCTTACCTAAACCTGAATATAAGGTCAGACTGAGCATCCAAAACCTCCAAGTCCCTCTTGAACAAGGACAGACTCCATCCCAGTCACACAGCCCTTTGGCCTGGGCTACAGAGCAGGGAGGATGAGGGAACACCCATCTCGAGGCATCCAAGCAGGAGAGGAAGAGGGGGGAGGTAACACTTGTTGCTCCTTTCCTTTTGTCTGTCTGTACAAATCCCCACTAGTCCTTTCACAGTTGCCATGACAACTACATCTCCTGAGAGTCCTTTTCATTAATTAACCCAGGTACTCATTCCCAAACTCAAGAGGACATTTTCTCGACACTGTTGATCAGGGCCAGCGCTCAGCACTAAGCTGTTCCGGGATCTCCGGCTGGCCATCTTGGGTACCCCCCAGCTACGCACCATTCGTTCACGCTTGTAGCTCCCCTGTCTTTGGAATTCATCCTCCACAACACAGTCTTTCCCTTTTCTACATCCCCTGCCTTCCAGTCTCTGTCATTCTGTTCCCTCTGGAGAGTTACCTATCTCACTGGCTTTGGGGCTTGGCACACCTTCTTTGATTGTCTACGAGCCACCCCCTTCAGAGGCAGCGCAGTGCAGTTAGGCTCCAGATTCTGCTGTTTGGCTCTATTTGCTGCAGAGTCAAAGTCCCAGGAGTCGGCATCTAAGGTCTCAGGTCCACCACCAGATGCTTAGATCCAGGCAGGTCCTTCCATTTGGGGGCAGAAGTCAGGTGTCTCACAATGTGTTCTTGTTCAACATAATCTCAGGAGCTGACTCTCCCAAGAAAAGAGGCGTTAATAGCAGGGGAAGGGATTTTAGGTTTACATTGCGGAATAAAAGGAAAACATAAACCACCTATTCATTCATGCCTGTATGCATGTATTTATTTTGTAGTGCTAGGGACCAAACCCAGGGCCTTCAGCATGGCAGGTAAACGTTGTGCCCCTGAATCACAACCCCAGCCCAGCAGTGCAATTTTCAAGTGTTTAGTAGTTGTGTGTTTTCCAATGATAGAAGCACATACAATTAATTTAGGATTTCTATTGAATCTAGCACTTCTAAAATACCATGGCAACATGTGATCAATATAAAAATTAGCCAGTAATATGTTCCTCTCCGTTGCTCTTTTAAATCTTTGAAATCCAGGATGATTTTTTTTTTAACTCTTAACAGCTCAGCTCAATTATGCTGCTAAACTTCTAAACTTCCATTGGAGATATATGATCTACATTTATATTCACAGCTGAAAAAGAATGACATACCCGTGTTGTTCTGGACACATGGACACATCTTCCCATTCGTGATGCCATTGCCCAGTGGATTTTTGCTTTCTAATCTCAAATATGCGTTTCCGTCATAGCCGTCTTTGTAGCTCTTTTGTTTTTATTTTTTGCTTTTGTTTATCAAGACAGAGTTTCTTTGTAGCTTTGGAACCTGTCCTGAAACTAGCTAGCTCTTGCAGATCAGGCTGGCCTCAAACTCACAAACTGATAGAGATCCGCCTGCCTCTGCCTTCTGAGTGCTGGGATTAAAGGTGTGCGCCACCTCTGCCCAGCCTTTGTAGCTCATTTTTGTCACAACTGTATGAACTTGTAGCAAAAGCTTGTCTGCTTCAGCAGGTTTATTTTATTTCAATTTTATATACGCTAGTGTATTGCCTGCATGTATGGCTGTGTGAGGGCATCAGATCCCCTGGAACTGGGGTTACGGACAGTTGTGAACTGCCTTATTGGTGTTGGGAATTGAACCTGGGTCCTCTGGAACAGCAGTCGGTGCTCTTAACCATTGAGCCATCTCTCCAGCCCATTTCATCAGTTTTAAAACTGCTTTTGTCCAAACTGTGTCAACACACGGTCTCTGGCACCAACTCAACACTGAGAGCGTGGGGTGCAAAGGGAATCATATACAGCAAAAACAACTCACAGCTTATTTGTTTGTTTGCTGGTGTTTCTGGTTTTTTTTTTTTTTTCAAGAAAGGGTTTCTCTGTGTAGCCCTAGCTGTCATGGAACTCACTCTGTAGATCAGGCTGGACTCAGAATCACAGAGTTCTGTCTGCCTCTGTCTCCTGTCAACTTTTGTTCATATCAGCAATATGTTCTTCAAAGTATTCTTGTTGATTCTGTAGAAAACTTACATACTAGCTGGGCAGTGGTGGCACACACCTTTAATCCCAGCACTTGGGAGGCAGAGGCAGGTGGATCTCTGTGAGTTTGAAGCCAGCCTGGTCTAAAGAGCTAGCTCCAGCACAGGTTCCAAAGCTGCAGAGAAACCCTGTCTCAAAAAAACAAAACAAAACATACAAGCAATATATAGATAGATAGATACACACACACACACACACTGTTGGCCCATCATCACTGAAAATATTATGCATATAGCTTCATGGATATTTTTTTAAAAAAGATTTTATTTTATTATTTTATGTATCTGGGTGTTTTGTCCGAATGTCTGTCTGTGAAACACATGTGTGCAGTGCCCGTGGAGGACAGAAGACGGTGTTGGAGTCCTTAGACCTGTTACAGACAATTGTGAGCTGCCATGTGAGGGCTGGGGATCTGGGTCCTCAGGAAGGACACCTGTGCTCTTAACCTCCGGGCCATGTCCAGCCCTGGATTCGTGTTTGAAAGTGCACCAAATCATCCTAACTGATTTGCACCATGAAAGTTATATCTCAATATAAATTCCAATCCTTTTCTAGATAGGGAAAAGGAAATGTTTCCTTCCTTTTGCGCTTCATGTTTATCTTCTTCACGTCTATTGTAATATTGACAAAAATAACAGCGAGTGCCGTCATTTTCTGTCTTCGGCTATTAAGTACCTGGCAAAACGTCTTTTTTGTTTCAAGGAGATCTTGAATTGGAACTGACAGTCCCATGAGGCTTTGTGAAATCCGTGCACAATTCAAGCCGCGAGCGTTGGCTTGGTCCCAACGTTCCTCCGTTCGCAGCCTTGTACTCCCTTCGGGGGAGGTTCCATACATTGGCGGTGAGTCACCGCATTGTACATACACACTGAACAGTTTTAGCAACTGTATCCATGACACGTTCTCGTCTGCTCCTGAAAGCCGCGCAGATATTTTGAGTATACATCATACGGTGGGATGAAGCAATAAAAGGAAACATCAGTCTCCCTCCTGTTTGGAGATCCCGATGAGTCTGCATTTCTGGAGTACCATCTGGCATGTCAGGAACAACTTTCCCATAGCGATCTGAAAACTCTTCCACACCGAATGCAAAAGATTACAACAATCCTTTCCACAATTGTGACTTGGCAAGGCTTCTTGATAAATTTGGAAGGCATTTAAGAGTGAATATGCCCAGTTTTTATTGGGCACTGTCTCCGTTTCCTTTCTGTTGCTGTGATTTGAAAACCAAACCAGGGGCTGGAGAGACGGCTCAGTGGTTAAGAGCCCTGGCTGCTCTTTGGGAGGACCCGGGTTCCATTCCCAACACTCACACGTTGACGTTCAACTTTCAATAAGTCCAGTTCAATAAGGGGGCCAGATGCCCCCTTCTGGCCTTCTTAGGCACTGCATACATATGGTGTATAGTCATACATACAGGCAAAGCACTCACACATAAAATATAAACAAAGCTTTAAAAAGTAAATAATAAATCATTGATATATAGTAGATAGATAAACAGGAAGCAGCCAGTATACTTTGGAGATGGCTCAATTAGTGCTTCACAAATATGAAGACCTAAGTCTGATCCCCAGCACCCACTTAAAAAGCCGCGTGGGGCTGTGCACGACTGGAGTCCTAGCAAGCAGGCTTTGCTCACCAGGCTGCCAGACTGAATCGGTGAGCTCTGAGACCCTGTCTCAAAAAATAAAGCGGTGCGTGATTGAGGAAGGAAGACATCTGACGTTAATATCCAGATTTGGTTTCGTTATTTTTATTTGTTCATTTGTTTGTTTGTTTTTGTCTATTTGGCACAACAATTCGAGTTATCTGGGAAAAGGGAGCCTCAGTTGAGAAAATGGGAAGATGTCTCTATCAGACTGGCCTGTAGGCAACTCAGTGGGGGCGTTTTCTTATTTAACGGTTGACATGGGAAGGCCGCTGGAAAGGTAGTCCTGACTGGCTTAAGGAAACAGACTGAGCAAGCCATGAGGACCAAGACAGTAAGAAGGCTCTTCCATAGTCTCTGCTTCAGGTCCCGCCTTCAGGTTCCTGACTGAGTCTGGCATCCCTCAGATAATATACTGTGACAGGGACCTGTATGCTGACACACCCTTCCCTTTTGAAGTTCTTTTGGTCATGATCTTTATTGAAGCAATAGAAAGCAAACTAGGAGAGTCAACCCCTGGCCTCTGAACTTGACACATGTATGGCAAGCAAATGCACCCACACATTTGACACACACACACACAGACACACACACACAGACACACACACACATACACACACACATATACACATAGACACACACACACAAGTGGCTACCTCTGAACTTCTGTGGAGGGAGAAAGACAGCCCAGATCGACCTGGGTTGGGTAAGAAGTTGAGCCTTCAAGTATTACTTATATAATTAAAATTAACTTAGAAGAAAGAACTTAAGAAAGAGGAAGTCATGACAGAAGTAGAAAACTGAACAAAGAACCCAATTAAATAGAACTAATTGCAACACACATTAGAAGGCGGCTAAATAAGTTATCCCATGGCACAATATTTAATACAAATGTCAAAAGGAAGACTTCAAAGGGAAGATACACAAATTACAGGGTGGCCTCTCCGTAAGTCGAAAATGGGAAATGCCAGGCAGTGATCAAAACTAATCTACGAAGCTTTTTGCCACCAGCACTTGGCTACCAGCCAGGGAACACATCCCAAGCTACTGCTGTTGCAGAAACTTGCGATTGCAGGACCATAAGCATCCAGTCTTCCTGCTCAACGCCATCCCGCACGGTGCTTGTTCCTGGTCCTTCTTTCAGGCCCAGCCCCACTGTTCCTTTCTTCCTTTGGCTTTCTCTTTTCTCATTACGTAGATTTGCGTGTTGGTAAATGATAATTGGATAACAAAACCCAAACAACACAGCCTTCCTTTGGCGTGGGACAGGAGCAGGGAAATAGTTGATAAAGCCTGTATAGGACACACATGGATGCATTTAATTCTTAATTCAAACTCAAAATTACCCTAACCCCTCCTGGCACTGACTAAATAAGTTAGTCAAGAATGATAATTGAATTAGGAGAGGTGTGAGAATCATCTTGAACTCTGTTGAAAAGCACCCTGAACTCAGAGCTTCTCAGCAGCATTAACTGAGTTGAAACGGTGTTTTCCTCAGCCAGGTTTGCGGTCGCTCTGAACTCTTTAAGCCCAAGATGTGTGCCTGAGAGTGAGGCACAAATGGACAAATCCTAAAAAATAGAACACTGACAGCACAGGACAGCGTGATTCATGCTGCAAATGACAGGCAGAGGGTTTCGACCTCGGGAAGGACAAAGCGCGAGGCCACCCAGCGGAACGGCGCAGACAAAGCTGGGCAGACGAGAGCCTTTTATTGCTTGCTTTGCCGTACTTCCAGGCCTGCCTAATGCAACGTGAACCAGAAGTGCCCAAAGACAAGACAAAGGATGTCTAAAATAACCAGAAGACAAAAGTAAAAGAAACAGAACAGCCACGCTAGCTGGAGGGAAGAGGACACGCACACAAAACATCCGAGACATAGCGTTATTCCTTCTTGGAGAGTACAGTCTCCCCAGCATGGTAACATTCACAGGGTCTATTAGTGAAAAAGCATTGACAGAGCTAAAAAAAAAATTTAGATATTGGGCAGGCAAAATGGCATGATGGGTAAAAGGACCTGCTGCCAAGCCCGACAGCTGGAGTTCAGTCCATGGAACCCACGTGGTGGAAGGAGAGAACCACTCCCATAGGATGCTCCCTGACCTCCACGCGCATGTCATGGTATGTGAGCGCACCTACATATACACAGGAACACACAAAAAATAGATGAATAAAATAGCTCAGTAATAGACAATGTCCACAAAAGTGCAATTCTATTTTTAAGCATATCCACTATAATCACTGCCTGTTTCTGTTGCAGGCGCAATCCTGGGGAGCTGTTCCCCTTCACGTAGCAGACACTAACCATTCAAAAGACTGGAAACCGTTTTCCTTACTCTGGAGCATGTTAAGACACCTGGCACCTACTGGAGACCAGATTGCTGACAACGAAGTAATTTAATTGGACGTTTGGCAATGGTTCATTTTGTTTATCTATTTATTATTTGTTTCATTTTATTGTAATTAAAGAGGGCCAGGGAGATGGCTCAGTCAGCAAAATAATTCCACAACCTCAGTTCGACTCCCAGAGTCCACATAAAAACCTGCCCGTGAGCTGGAGAGATGGCTTAGCAGTTACGATCACTGGTAGCTCTTGCAGGGGAACCTGGGTTCTGTTCCCAGCACCCATGTGATAGCTCACAACCACCTGTAACTCCAGTCTCAGGGAATTAGAAACTCTCTGATTTGGCTTCTGTGGGTGCCAGGTACACATGTAGTTCATAGATCTACATGCACGCCAACACTCGTATACATGAATTATATAAAAGCTTAAGAAGAAAAAGGAAAAAAATCCTGTCTCTGGAGAGGTGGCAACAAGTGGATCCCTGGGTTCACTGATCTGGCTTTCTTGGTAAGCTCCAGGCCAGTGAGAAAGCCTGTCTCAATACAAATAAAACAGCACTTGAGAAAAACAACACTACATAAACATATGCATGGGGACCCTTAAACATGCACACACATACACAGAAACTGAAGACATGTATCTTATTCTGAACCTTATCTTGAAGATATTCTTGGATCCAGGAACACGGGCACAATTCATATATACTGGCCGAGTCCATTATCACTAGATGCATGAGAAGGCGCCACTCCAATGCCAAGTGTAGCTTGAGACATCAAAGAAGCATGCGCCTTTCTCCATGACACCCTCCTGGCAGGCCTGGTGTGCAGCTCCACGCAGAGTGCTTGCCTGACGTGTGCAGATGGTTTGACACCCACCCCGCTGCAGCTCAAAGCAAACAAACAAGTGGATACCCTGGCAAGGGCTGTTGTCGTACCAGATGTTTATTGTTTCATTATTTTAACTTCGGCGCTGCTGAAACCAGCTTCTGAAGCTAAGCGCTCTTGCCGTTCTCAGACTTGGACAAAAAGAAAGAAAAGATAGGAATATGTAAAAGTTAATTTTCTGTTCTGTAGCATCCAACATAGTTTTTGTTTTTGTTTTTGATTTTTCTGAGACAGGGTTTCTCTGTAGTTTTGAAGCATATCCTGGAAACTAGCTCTTGTAGACCAGGCTAGCCTTGAACTCACAGAGACCCACCTGCCTCTGCCTCCCGAGTGCTGGGATTAAAGGCATGCGCCACCACCGCCTGGCCCAACATAGTTTTAGAGTGCTTAGAATGTTTTGGAACTCTAGCCAGAGCAGGCGAGATGGCTCAGCAGGTAAAGGCACTGGCCTCAAAGACCGACGACCTGACTTCCGTCCCTAGAGCCCCTGTGCTAGGAGAAGAGTCCCCTGACGTCCCTCTACGTACCGTGGCACATAGTAACTAAAAGTAAGTATTCGAAAAACTTTAGAAATCTCTTTAGATCAAAGTCCATGTTTTGTATTGTAAAAGCATTTAGATTGTACCGCTTATATCTTAGAGTGTTTGGGGTGGGGGCCATTGAGTTGATTGCCCCATGAGCTTCAAGTGAAGCCTTGCCAAAGAACATGGAAATGTTAAAAATGTTGAGAAGTCCCAAACCAAGCAAGAGAGCAACTATTCCCAGTCAGACAGAACAGAATACAATAATGTAAATATCTTAAAAATGGAATTGACAAACACAAGATGGTAGATAAGCAAGAGTGTACATGCTTTTCACACATATAGAACACATATAAACACAGAAATATGTGAGGACAAATGGAAGCCAAGTGGTTCCCAGGGCAGGTGCTATAGAGTCAGGTACTTGATAGAAGCAAATAACAAATTGTATCAAGTTAATTTTCATTAATTGTGTGTGTATGTGTGTGTGTGTGTGTTGTGTGTGTGCAGGCAGGCAGGCAGGCATCATGTGTGGCAATCAGAGTACAACTCTTTGGGGTCTCCTGCTACCTCATGTGATGGGGGATCAAGCTTTGGTCATCAGGCCTGTCTGTGTGCAAGTACCTTCACCTCTTAGCCGTCTTGCTGGCCCTCGAGGTTTTTTATTGTTGTTGCTATTGTTTGTTTTGTTTTTTAGAAATCAAATGCTTATAAGTCTTGAAAAAAAATCTTCCAGGCCAGGCACAATGGGGCCCAGCTGCAATTCTGACTCCCAGACTCTGAGGCACGAGGCTCTTAGGTTCAAGGCCAGTCTGGATGCATAGT